AGGACCGGAGTTCGAGACCCCTGCTTTAGAGGGTTCGTCACCTCCTTAGACTATTTATTTTGTCTGAATATCCATCTAAATTGGTGTCTCCTCTGTAATACATGTCATTTGTTGTCTTTGTAGAAATGCATTTCTGATGCCCTTTTCAGTGTACTGGACAATATACAAAGCATAATGTTGGCATTTCAAGATGGCAATCAGGAGCCAGATATAATCCAGCAAGGCCATATCAGTGTGTTTGTCAACAGGTAAGTTCCACTTCAACTAAGACTTAAAACAATAGTTTAATATTTGGAGAGATATTCATAACTGCTTTCTGGCAACAAGTTTGATGGCATAACTGGTAATAATAATAATTGATCAGACTTATATAGCGCTTTTCTGGACACTCAAAGACGCTTTACACTGTCAATTATTCATTCACACACATTCATTCTGATGGTGGTAGCTACGATTGCAGCCACAGCTGCCCTGGGGCAGACTGACAGACCACCTCAAACAATCCATTCATACGCATTCACACCAGGCAAGGTGGGTGAAGTGTCTTGCCTAAGGACACAATGACCATGAAAGAGGTTACAGGGCGGAATCGAAACGCCGACCTTCCGATCATCGACTGACTCACTCTACCACCTGAGCCACAGCCGCCGTAACACGGTAAACACTTAAGGTTAGCAGTTGTTGACAAAAGCTGCGATCAGCACTACTAAAGTTCTTCATTACCACATTATATCTAAAAACTGGACCATATGTGCCCAACTATTTCTTTATACTAACAGCATTAACCTCTCAGTAACTCCCACTGATTTGTTTGGCAACCTCATGGTAGTGATAACTTTGCTTAGTTACTTTTCTTTCAAATGACCAAAAATATAACTTGCTGTTTACAGAATTCACTTGTTAATTAGTAAGCTTTGGAGGGGCAAAGAGGTAGATTGTTTTACCTTTTGGTAAAGCCAACCAAGTATTTTTCTCTCATGTCTTTATGCCGTCAATATTAACCTTCTGGCTGTGGCAGTGCATTCACCAGACAGATGTGAACGTGGAATGGATCATCACATCTAACTTTAAGCAAGAAAACAGAATGTTTGACTTCATTTGATGACTTAAAGTCCTTGAAAAAGTGAAATGAATCATTTAAGCATGCCAGTAGAGCTGGTAAACTTGCAAAGCACCTGTTCCGGATGTTATCAGTATATTAAATGGCTGATATCATCGCTTATCATTCCCATACATATGAGCCAGAAGGGATCTACTCGACTTTCTAGAAGGATCAGCAGACGCATTATGCCTCCATTTTATGGAATTCTGTTATCGTCTAATTAAACATGAGGAAGCCACAATTTTGCACTTACGCAGAGGAAAAAAAGGCTATACTTGGAGGTTGGATGAAGGAGGTGTAAGTCTGCAATATTTCACAAAAACAGGGAGACCAACTTAAATGGTCTTCATTTTACAAAAATTTCAAGGTTCAATTTTAAACCATTTGCATTCTACAGTCCTACAAAATATGAGAAACAACCAGAGTTATGATAGTGAACCTTTAAAAAAGTAGGAGGTTGGGGGTAGGACGAGATCTGCGGATCTGTAGAGGCTGGTGTGGCAGCGATGTGGTGAGCGTAGAGCAGGCAGAATGAATAAACGCTACCTTGGTTATAAAGTACGCTAACTCAGCTCAATTCAACTCAACTTTATTTATAAAGCACTTTAAAAACAACCACTGCTGACACAAAGTGCTGTACATCAAGAATAAATTATATAAAACATAAAACAAACAAAACAGTTAAATAAATAACGACAATAAAATGATAAATACAAGAGCAAAGTCTCATGCTGTGTCAAAAGCCAAGGAGTAAAGGTGGGTTTCAAGAAGAGTTTTAAAAATAAGCAGTGAAGGGGCCTGTCTAATGTGCAAGGGCAACTTGTTCCATAATTTAGGAGCAGCAGTAGAAAAGGCTTTGTCGCCTCTGAGCTTCCGCTTGGATTTTGGTACCTCTAGGAGCAGCTGATCAGCTGACCTGAGGGACCGAACAGGAGAATACAGGTGAAGCAGCTCACAGAGAGGCAAGGCGGGGCAAGACCATTTAAGGATATTAAAACAAATAAAATAAATTTAAAATGAATTCTAAAATGCACAGGCAGCCAGTGGAGGGAGGCCAGAATGGGAGTAATGTGTTCCCTCTTACGTGATCCAGTTAAAAGACGAGCAGCGGCATTCTGAACCAACTGGAGATGTGAGAGGGAAGACTGGCTGGCTCCAAAATAAAGAACATCGCAGTCATCCAGCCGAGACGTTATAAAGGCATGGATTACTGTTTCAAAGGGCTGCTGTGGGAGGATGGGTTTCACCTTTGCCAACTGCCTAAGATGAAAAAAGCCGATCTTCACTACTGCACCAACTTGGTGATCCAATTTAAAATCACTGTCCATCTTAAAACCCAGATTCGTAATTGTTCGCTTTACATGCTGTGCCAAAGGACCCAAGTCAACAGGGGAGTGGGACTCACAGGAACCACTGGGGCCAAACACCATCACTTCTGTCTTCTTTTCATTAAAATTTAGGAAGCTTAATGCCATCTAGGCTTATCATTAAGACATAACAACAGTGACAGTACATATATCTGACTGTCGTCAGCATAACAATGGAAGGAGATACCATGCTTTCTAAGAATTGAACCCAAAGGAGGCAAATAAAGTGAAAAAAGCAGGGCCCTAAAATTTATCCCTGTGGAACCCCATATAACAGGGGAGCAGAGGAAGATTCAGAACCAGCAAGGCTTACAGACATAGTTCTATCTGCCAGATAGGACCTAAACCAATCCAGAGCACTACCACAAACGCCCACTAGATGATGCAACCTAGATATCAAAATGCTGTAGTCCACTGTGTCAAAGGCCGCGGTTAGGCCAAGCAAGACAAGAATTACATAATCACCAGAATCATTAGCCAGGAGAATGTCATTGAGTACCTTTAACAATGCTGACTCTGCTATGCAGGGTTATAAAACCAGACTGAAGAACCTCCAGGACATTATGCTCATCCAGAAAAGACTTCAGTTGGGCATAGACAATTTTCTCCAATATTTTAGAGAGGAACAGCGGCTTGGAGATAGGCCTAAAATTAGCCAACACTGTGATCGAGAGCAGGTTTCTTGATCAGGAGTTGCATTACTGCATTTTTAACATTTGCAGGGACAACACCAGAAGACAGACTGCTGTTAATGATGGCAAGAACTATCTGCCCTATGCTGGGGAAAACCTCTTTAAAAAAAACTGAGGAGGGACAGCATCACGAGGGGAACCAGAGGGCTTTATATGGCCAACCACATCTTGTAATAGCGACAAAGTCACAGGCTCAAACTGAAAACAGCCGGGCAAGGGACAGAACCAGACGGGTCAGAGGCAGGACCTGAGATGAGAGCCCTTTTGATAATGACTGTATTAGTAAAAAAGTGCAGGAATTTATTGCACATTTCAGGGGATGCTTCCAAACACACAGACTGTGGGGCATTAAGAACAGAGTCAATAGTTTTAACCCTTTAAGCCCTGAGCTATTTTTCAGGCCTTTGATCGAAAATTACATACCCATAATAAAAACAGTTTATCTCTGCAACCACAAGGTC